GCATCTCTACTATAAACCAGAACAATACCTGTGATAACTACATTGGAAGCCTCAGCCTCAGGCATCACTAGAAGAGCATAACATCGGGGCTGGGCCCCACCACCCTAAACTACATCTCTGGGATGGCCTGCTGCTAGCTGGCCTCCACCTCTAGCTGCCTGACCTCCACCTCTAATACCTCTACCTCCACCTCTAGTACCTCTACCTCCACCTCTAGTACCTCTACCTCCACCTCTAGCTGGATGAGCGGGTTGTGGAGCACTCGGTACCTGAACCATGGCACGAGAACCCTGATGCTGAGAGCTGCTTGATGCTCAAGGGCAAAATCAAGAAATGTGACCCATATCACCACAGGTATAACAAGCCCTCGGCTGCTGAGACTGCTGACCTTGACCACCTGAATTACCACCCCGAAAACTCTGGAGCGGTGGTGCACTGATAGGAGCTGGTGGTGCACTATAGGACTGCTGATCAGAATACTGCATATGAGAACCACGACCACCTGAAGTGCCGTGAGAAACCTGAAGTGCTGATTGAAAAGGCCTAAGAGGATGACCTCTACCATACGAATCCCTGCCTCTAGACGAGGTACCACTAAATCTGGCTGAATGACGAGGCCTCTTGTCAGACCCCTGACCACCTCCCTGCGATAGAACCATCTCAACTTTCCTGGCCACATTGGCCGCCTCCTAAAAAGAAATCTCACTCCCCGGATCCTTAGCCATCTGAAGTCGAATAGGCTGGATGAGCCCCTCAATGAACCCCCTCTTTCTCTCTTTTAGTGGGGAGTATAAGTAGAGCATGATGGGCCAAATCGATAAACCTGGTCTCGTACTGAGTAATAGTCATATAACCCTACTGGAGACACTCAAACAACCTCCGATAGATCTCTCTTTGAGTGATAGGGAGAAACTTCTCTAGAAATAGCTGAGAAAACGGCTCGCAAGTCAAAGTTGGTGACCCAACTGGTCTAGCCAAACAATAATCTCTCCACCAAGTATTGCCAGATCCAGATAAGCAAAAAGTAGCAAAGTCAACCCCATTGGTCGCCACTATCCCCATGTTCTTGAGAACCTCATGACATCTGTCCAAATAATCTTGGGGATCCTTAGAAGATGCACCACTGAAAGTGGTAGTGAAGAGCTTGGTGAACCTGTCCAACCTCCACAAAGCATCGACAGACATAGCTGCTCCATCACCGGTCTAAGCTACCACACCCGGCTGAACTGCTCCAACTGGCTGAGCTGCTGGAGTCTGAAACTGGGGAGCCATCTGCTCCGGAGTGCGAGTAGCAGGAGTCTGGGCTCCTCCTCCAGCCTCAGAGATGGCTGGTGCTACAGGAAGCAAGCCCGCCCGGGTGACACTCTCCATAAGGCCCACTAAACGGATTAGAGCATCCTAGAGTACTAGGGTAGCAATGAACCCCTCTGGGACCTGAGTTGGGCCCATCGGAACTGCCTGGGCCGGAACCTCATCATCAAACTCAACCTGAGGCTCCGCCACTGGTGTTGTTGCTCTAGGCTGAGCTCTACCCCTACCTCGGCCTCTAGCATGGCCTCGGCCTTGCCCTCTGCCCCTAGCGGGAGTTGCTACTGGGGGCTCGGGCTGCTGATCAGTGGATGAAGAAGCGTGTGTTCTTGCCATTTGCGAAATAACAGAGTAGAAATTCAATTAGTATTGAGAAACCATACCGCACGACAGGAAAGAATAGATGTGAAGCTTTTCCTAACTCTGTAGCCTTTGGGGGATAAATACAGACGTCTCTGTACCGGTCCCTTAGACTCTACTAAGCTTGTCTGTGAATTGTGAGACCTATGTAACCTAGAGCTCTGATACCAACTTGTCACGACCTGAATTTTCCACCCTCGAGAGTCGTGATGGCGCCTACTAGTGAAAGCTAGACCAGCCAACTGTTTGAACAATTTACTTTTTCTCATTTTTAATCCTTAATCAATTAGGAACTAACTATTTATCAATAGCGGAATTTAAACAAGCAGAAGAAACAAATAAAACCATTTAAATAATTCCAATACGATTTCTTAAACAAAAACTATCCAGAACTGGTGTCATAACTTCACAGACGGTCTAGGAATACTACGAACAAGGTTCGAAAAATAAATGCAACTCTGTTTCTGAAATACATAAACGAAACAGGATGAAAAGATAGAGGGAGACGCCAGGGCCTGCGGATGCATGCAGGACTACATTGGATCTCCGTATGGACTGAAGGCAGCCACCCAAAGTTAAGGTCCAAAAGCTGCTGCGCCAGGATCTGTACATAGTGTAGAGTGTAGTATCAACACAATCGATCCCATGTGCTGGTAAGTGCCTAGCCTAACCTCGGCGAAGTAGTGACGAGGCTAGGACCAGACTACCAAGTAAACCTATGCAGTTAAATCATATACGACGGAAATAAAAGCAGGGATGTATAATTAGGAATGGGAGGGGGAAACATGCTGCGGGGAAACATCACTTAAAATAGAAAGACAACAAGTAAATATGAGGAACACCATGTCTCAATTATCAACAAGAATCTGGAATCAAACAAGTGCACGACATCACCTTCCGTGCTTTTACACTCGTCCTCACCATAAGAATCAATATAAACTGCACGGCATCACCCTTTGTGCTTTTACTCTCGTCCTTACCATAAAATCAATATAAACTGCACGGGATCACCCTTCGTATTTTTACTCTCGTCCTCACCATAAAATCAATATAATCGGCACGGAATTGTACATCGTGCGTCATGACATCACCCTTCGTGCTTTTACATTCTTCCTCACAAAATCATACATAGCATCACCCTTCGTGCTTTAACACTCTCTCACCAAAATATTTCACGGCATCACCCTTCGTGCTTTAACACTCTTCCTCACCCAAACAACAAACACAAGCAATAGGGCAAGAAAGTAAATAAAATCCCGACAAGGGAACAATATCAAAAGCATCAACATCCCGGCAAGTGAGATAGCATTAAAAGCAACAACATCCCGGCAAGGGAGACAATTTAATAATTCTCTTCTCTTTTCCACTTTTACTTCACAACTCACTTCATAACTAGAGCCAATACTCTATAAGGTTCAATTGCCAATTATACTTTCACAATTCATATCTCAACTTGAGCCAATGCTCTACAATGATCAATTACCCATAATACTTCCACAAGCCTTGTTCAACAGTAGAAATCATCATATAAAGCATGAACAATACGAAACGGAGTCACATTAATCATATTATAAGACCCATGGGCATGCTTGACACCAACGTATAGATACTCGTCACCATGCCTATACGTCGTACTCAATAATTAACACATAGCAAATAAGATACGACTCCTAATCCCTCAAGCTAAGGTTAGACCAAACACTTACCTCAATACCACGAATACAATTCAAGCCTCAACTACCGCTTTACCTCTTGTTTCCACCATCAATTCGCTTATATCTAGCCACAATTTACTTAATAATATTAATAAATGCTAAATGAATCAATTCTAATGCATAAAAATAAGTTTTCAAATGATTTCCCCAAAAAGTCAAAAATCGACCCCGGGCCCACATGGCCAAAACTGGAGGTTCGAACCAAAACCCGATTACCCATTCACCCACGAACCCAAATATATAATTTATTTTGAAATCAGACCTCAAATCGAGGTCCAAATTCCCAAAATTTAAAAATTCTAAGTTCTACCCAAAACACCCAATTTCCCCCCGTGAAATCCCTTGATTTTAGATTGAAATCATGTGAAAAGATGTTATAGATTAAAGAAAATGAGTTAGAAATGACTTACAATCGATTTGGAAAAGAACTTTCTTTAGAAAAATCGCCCAAGAGAGCTTAGGGTTTGAGAGAGTTTGAAAAATGAAGAAAAATGCGTCTAAATGATAATTTAGCAGGTCGCAGATGTCGCAATTGCAACCAGGGTTGGCAATTGTGAACCCCTTTGGAACCTGCTATCTTCGCAATTGCAAAGAATCTGTAGCATTTGCGACCAAGGAAAAATCCGGTAACCTTCGCATTTGCGAAGATAACATCGCATTTGCAAAAAGGAGGGCTTCGCAATTCCCATTCTGGATTCGCATTCGCGAAAAGGAGGGCTTCGCAATTCCCATTCTGGGTTCGCATTTACGAAAAGGGCCTGCCCAGGCTTGGTTCGCATTTGCGATGTGTTGGTCGCAATTACCAAGCCTAAGAACTTCGCAATTGCGAAGCCTGATCTCGCAATTGCGAGATCAGGCTTCGCAATTGCGAAGCCTGATCTCGCAATTGCGAGATCAGAGGCCTGGGCAAAAATACGAGATACCAGCACGTGCTCCTAAGTCCAATTTCACTCCGTGGCCTATCCAAAACTCACCCGAGCCCTCGGGGCTCCAAACAAAAAATGCACCCTAACCTAAAAACATCATAAGGACTTGCTCGTGCAATCAAATTATCAAAATAGCATCAACAACTATGAATTAAACCCCAAATTCATGAAATCACTCAAGAACACCAAAATTTCCAATTTCTCAACTTTAGGTCCGTTTTATACCAAACCAATTCCGATCTTTACCAAATTGTATAGATTCAATCTAATTATTATTTCAAACTTGTACCGGGCTCCGGAACCAAAATACGGGCCCGATACCATCAATTTCAAATATCTTTTCATTTCCCAAAACTCTTATATTTTCCAGAAAATAATTTTCTTTAAAAAAATTTTTATTTCTCGGGCTTGGGACCTCGGAATTCGATTCCGGGCATATGCCCAAGTCCCAAATTTTACTACAGACCCTATGAGACCGTCGGATCACGGGTCCGGGTCCGTTTACCAAGAATATTGACAAAAGTTAACTTTATTCAATTTTAAAAGCCAAATTCCTTATTTCACTTAGTTTTCACATAAAAGCTTTACAGAAATGCGTTCGGACTACGCACGCAAATAAAAATGAGACAAAAAATTTATTTAAGGCCTTGAAACACAGAATTTACTTTTGTTGACGACCTTTTCGGTCATCACAGAAAGGACGTCCACTTCGGCTAATGTAAGGAAAAATCCGATGTTGGATGTCAGTATTTTCTCCCTGTGCGGTGTTTGTATGGAATTTCGATGTTTCGCTGAAAAATTATTTTGCTACTTCACCGGTTTTCTTTCTCTGGTAATATTTCTCATACCCCCATAATTTTGCTTATGTTCTTTCTCTGTTTTTTATGATAATTTTTGTTATTTCTAATTTATAAAATTGGAGGTTATGTTGGTGGATTTTTATTTCATGTTAGAAACCATGAGATTTCCCCCGTTCGATGTTTGCTATCGATATTCGATGCTGGTTGTCTTGTTCGTTATTCTGGTAATATTGCCGATAAACTCATCATATTTTACTTCTGTTTGTTGTTTGCATTATACTTTTTGTGATTTCTCGTTTTCAGATTTGGGGGTTTAGCTGGTGAATTTTGATTTCGTGTTAGAAACCATGATAACCCCATTGTGATTTCTATTTGATGTTCGATGTTCGCTGTTTTGTTCGTTATTCTGAAAAATCATTTCGACGTTTTTTTGTTCTGTGGTAATATTGCTGAAAAATCACAACTTCATCTCAATGTTGTGAAAATATATCAGTGTCCCGTGATAGACTTTTTGGCATTTGTAATATAGTTTAGAAAAACTTTAACCCCATTGTTTTTGGCGAATGTAAAAAAATTGAAAAGCTCCTTTTGGCCGTCTGGGAGGCCATTTCTTGGTTCATGTTGAAAATGCTTCTATTAAACCATACATCCTCTTGATGTAGAAACTTGACAGTTCTTTAATTATTTTAGCCATTGTATTTTGTGCTTCAAATTGGATGTGACAAAACTAACTCTTAGCTAGCTTTCTTTTTACTCCTTCTCTGTTCACAACATGTATATGTTTGAAATTAGACAAACTTGCTAGATTTTGGTTGCTTTAATATATATATTTATTCTTATAAAAAATCTATCCTAGTGTACAAAATACGAAGTATGGTAAAATAGAGAATATTGAAAAGCTTGCCGAATGGTGAGTTAATGTTAGTATAGACCAATTTAATGTTAACTTATAGTTGCATGTAAAAGAAGGATTTAGGCCTACCACAGTATGACTCTTTAAATAACTATAAGCAAGCTTTTGCTTTCAAATGTGAAGTGACGAACAATTATATGTACTCTCTTGCTTTCAGAATGTTGAGCTGTTAGTACAACCTTTAAAGTTGCACCCAGCACAGATGAAGACGGCGTTAGACAAATTTGCAGCAGTCGGAATACTTCAGGTAATAAAAGAACTTACCCCGTCTGTACAGTTGAGTTAGAACCATAGTTTACTTCACTGAATAAGTATGTTTTCTTTTTAATTCTTAGACAAGTTCATAGTTTACTTTGCTGAAGAAGTATGTCTCCTTTTCAACACTGAGACAAGTTCCTTCTTAATCGACATTCAGTTATAAAGAGAAAAAGGTGATTTATAGGAATAATTTCTGGTTAAAATATTCGGAAAAACGTTTGCAGTTCATAGCTGTAATAGTCTCTACTTATTTTCAACTAAGATAAGTAGATTTTTTTCATATTTATGTGTAGCTGCTTCTTCAGGTACAATTTATTTGTTAGCATTTTGGACATGTATAGGCTTTTTAACCTTGTCCAAATGACACATGTGGTGTCTTAATCAATGATGTTATTTACCACATCATGTGATAAGTGCATCATGATTGCACTAGCAACACTTTCATCCAAGCTAGCCCAATCCTCAGCTTTCATGGTATTAGGCTTTATGGTATCAACATCTAGTTCTTTGTGTAATCTTTGTTGGATGAGCAAATCCCTCATCCTTCTTTGTCATGTTAAGAAATAGCTATCTCCATTAAATTTTACTACCTCGTACTTTACTTTGAACATTTTTTCACCGAGTATAGTACTACCGACAGTGAATAGTATTTCTGTGAACAAGCAGATCCTGTGATCTAATACTAGTTGTCGGGAAACTCCCAACAAAAATAATATTTACGGTAATAACAACGGAATAATAACGTAGTGTCGAGATACAATAATCAAGAAAAATAAAAAGAACAACAAGGACACAAAGATTTTAACGTGCAAAACCCTTCTAAATAAGGAAAAATTATGGGCTCGAGAGGAGCAAAATAATCCACTATAATGAGGAATTTTACACTCCGTAGTCTCGAGTAAATACTCTAGGAACCACTATATACTCAAAAGAAATAATCCTCTTTTGAGATTGCCACCTCACAATAATATCGCTCACACTCTTTTTTTTTACCTTACAGACTACACCGCCTCTGTATACCTCACACTGCTCTCTATGCTCTCAGATATATTTCGCTCCGAGCTCAGTTTGTAGAAACGGGAGCCGAAGCACTCCATTTATAGTATTGAGTGTCCAATCTTCCACCAATCAAAACGATTGGTTATTGCAATTTGAAATTGTAAATTGCTTTGTCTGACGCCTACTAATTTTGACAATTTGCAGAATCCAAAATAAGTGATAATGAAATCTGACACTTTTCCTTTCTTTTCTTTTTTCTTTTATTTATTTATGGGGATATACCCCACATAAAGTATTTCATTAAAGTTAAAATAAAAAATTTAAAGTTAAATTACTTTTAAATATAAAAAGATATTAATTGAAATAGATTAAAAGAGAAATATTGTCATATAAATTTGAACATGTGGAGTATTTCAATATTTGCAAATATTGTTAAAATATCGAAAACTTGTTTGATGAGTATTTCAAGTGAAATATTAATTTTCACTCACAAAATCTTTACTTATTTCACTTTAGATTCAACTATTATTCGATTTTCACTTTAATCAAATATTATTCAATTGCCTACTTCCACTTACGAAATAATCCTAGTGTTTTGTCTTATCAAATTGTCACAATTCAAACTATAGTATCATGAGCTCGTATTTCAAGCAATGCTGGATCATTGGCCATCTGATACGAATTTAAAAGTGGAAGACAAGAAATTAAAGATAAAGGATAATATTTCAGAATAAATCCAATAAAGTAGTAATTGAAAAATAATTTATAAAGATCAATTACCCAATAATTACGTAACAAAGTTAATCAAAACTATAGGAATACCTTCGAGTGGAAGTTTGATTCAACTTGAAAAACGCACTTTGAATAAAGTTGTCATCAACAATGGCAAACCACCATTACACCTCTCAAAAAAGAACTCATCATTCATCAAAATCAATGCGCCTAAAATGAAAGCGTTAAAAGGGTAGTTATACTAGATTGGGTACTTTAATACAAATTACCCAAATACCCCTAAGTTAATTCTAAGGAATTAAGTGTAGTGTGATGACCCGCCATGTCATCATGCCACATAAGCGCCATTTGACATATATTAATGCCATGTGGAAGCTTACATAAGAAGAATGCTAGCATTTGTGAGAAGATTCTAGAGAGGTATGGACATTTCCTTAGGAAGAACCTAGATCCTTATGGATTTGCTAGGAAAGTCCTTGGAATCTTCTAGACTTGTAGAGAATTCTAGAAAAAGCCCTTATCTTGTAAATATCAAGGACTTGTGTAATAATTAATATTTACACACTAGCCCCTAGAAAACTAGTATATAAAGGGGGCCATTCATTTGTAATTCATCAAGCAAACAATTCAAGTTCTCTCTAATACAAAGCTTCCTTTAACAATTCTCTTGTGTTCTTTCTTCCATTCTCTTAGCGATCTTGAG